ACATAATCTTCTACCACTCTTGCAACTGCCCTGAAAAAGTTGCCTTCAATTCAAAGCTACCTGAGTCAAGGCTCTTTCACAAGGGATGACGTACCAGTTTCATACAAATGTGCAACAATTATGGCTCAATAAAAATCGAATTCCTACCTTACACCGACATGCAGATTTTACAAAAAAAAATCCTTGTTGCTGTGGTCCAGGGCCTGAGATTCGTTTGAGGGTACCTTGTGGACTCAGGGCAGTTTTTAAGAAACCCTATTTTGTCCTGAAATGTCAGGACTGTGCAAGGATGGGTTTGCGGTAGGGTCAGTGCTACAAATGACATTATCGTGACCCGTCAGTGCTACATTTCATTTTATCCTGTGCACAACGGTAAAGGCTGTATTTGTTCTAATTAAGAGCCACTTTGGAAACTTTTTTAATAGACATGCATTTCAACATTCATCTCCTCCTCCTCGAGAAAATCTTGAAAAGCATCATTATCATTGTCCCCCCCACTGTCTGCATCCCCCCCATCCTCTGCGTGGTGGTCACGCTTCTCTGCAAGTGACCCCCGGAACCCTGTGGCACTCCTCTTCGATACATTCACCGTGGCTGCCTTGCGCTTGGTGGGTCGCCTCTTTTTGGTGTTGCGCCACAGTGCCACAACTTGACTCCACTCCATGTCGTACTCCAGTAGACTCAGCGTCATGAGGTCGCCCAGCTTCGCGTCGCACAAGCTGGTCCGCTGCCAGCTCTTGATGACATTCTGGCGCGAGAATCCGCGCTCGCACTCCACCGTGCTGAGCGGCAACACTGCCACAGCCGCCCACAGCCGCACCAGGTTCGGATAAGTCCGCTGCCAGTCCGCAGTTGACAGGATCGCCCATAACCCCGCATGGAAGGGTTGCTCCTCCTTGGGCGCCCCGGACAGCACAGACAAAAACGTGCGCATCTCCTTCCGCACTTCGCGCTTGTTCACACCTGTATGATGGGATGATAAGGGAACATACAAGCGCAGCATCAACAATCACGCTTTTAAGGGGTACAAGATACACAGCGATGTTTGTGGGCGAACAAAACAGTTGTCTCACCAGGCAGTATATCATCTCTGACGCGAGCATGGAACATCGCCGCCAGCTTCTCCATGTGTTCTTTGCACTCCGTGTCTCTCGCCTCTTTCCCACGCGGCCAGGTTCTTGACATGAAGAGCTTTGCGGCGTTGAGATTTGTCAGGTCGCCAAGCCGAAAGTCGAGGTTGTAAAGCAGCTCAGTCGCAAACGAGCGACACGTTCGAATGCAGGACTGGATGTCACCAGCACTCGCCGAGTACTCGGGAATCGCCTCTTCGTGCAGGGTGAACTCATGCTCCCTTGCCTCCCCGTCGGCGTCCACTCCCTGCACAGTCACTTCCCTGCTGCATGGTGCACTGTGGCGAGCAAGGAACGGCGACAGTAGAGTGCTCGCCCCTGCATCGAACTGTTGCCCACAGTCGATGTAGCGCTCTCTGATGAAGACTTCTGTACGCCTCAGCTGGGAGTGGACCCCCGTCAAGTCAACCTGTGGTCGGGTTTTGGATCAGGGAGGGCACAGTAGTGAAACACATCCGTGAGCATCAAACACCTATCAAGTGAATAGTGCTACAAAGCAGACAACGGTACCTCGCGCCTCTGGAAGAGCAGGTTGAGCGAGTTCAGCTCTACGTGTACATCCACCAAGAAGTACACAAAGAAGTGGAACTTCAGGCTGGTGACCATGTGGTAACAGGTTGAGTCCACCTGCTCCAGAAGGACAATCACCGCCGGCAACACCTTCACGAACCGGGCTATCGCGTCACCGCGGCTTAGCCACTGTACGGCGTGGATCCCTTGCATTTCCAGGTTCGTCCGGGTGAAGACGGCCTGGAGCTCCTTGGATGCAGCGTTCGAGGTGCTGCTGCGGCCGAGATGCTCCGCCAAAGCACGGATGAGAGCGTCAACCATGGCGAGCTCTGGGAGCGCTTCTGCAGAATCTTTCGCGGCAAGTGCCTCCTTGTAAAGAAAAAGCCACGGACACAGCGTCAGGCAGTCAGTTGGTAAAACAGCGGCGAATGTTGGATCTGGGATGCAGAGGCACCCACCTGTGGGCGATGCAGTGGCACGAGACCAGATGAGGGATGCAGAGTCGAAGTCGCCCGGTCAGTCCGTTGGTTCCGCCGAGCATGACTGGAGCGCCATCGGTGCTAATCCCGACGATCTTAGCAAGGGGGAGGTTGATGCTGTCGAGGTAACCGACGAGCACTGCATACAGGGATCCTGCATCGCATTTGTCAACTATCAATAGTGTGAGAAACTCAGTGGTAACCTCGTTTTCACGCAAAAAAGTGATGAAGACAATCATATGCTTCCCCCGCATGCGGTCAGTACTCTCATCACAGCTCAAGCCAATGAATGGGCTCGAGTCTATGAACTCCCGCTGCTTCGCACGAAGATAGCTCGCTGTCGCGGACACTAGTTCCGCGAAACCGTACCTCCGAACACACGGTTAGGGAACATAGTGTTAGTATATAGTAGATCATGTGTTAAGTGAAAGATATGAACAGCATATTACTTACGTTGTGTAATACGCGCCGTAGCCATTCTTCGGGAAGCCCGGAGTTCCACGGGAAGCAAGGTGCCGGACGAGTTGCACCCACATCTCTATGGCTGCGTCGGTCTTGGTGATGAACAGCATGGTGTCCAGCAGCGACTCCACAGCGTCGTGCTCCACATCAGGGGCTGTTGGGCAGTCTGGGATGCGATGCTGTCCGGCAGCTTTGGCCAAAGCCAGCTCCTGATTGCGGATGGCTTCTCTGTGCTTCGTGGTCCTTTGATGAGGTTGCATGGCATGAGTCTGCACATCCAGGGCCCCCTCGCCTTTCCCGAAGTTGGTTCCAGTTCCTCCATAATCCATACACACTGTACATTTCATGGAGGGGAAACCAAATTTAGTTTGACAAATAATAAGCCAAGGGAAGTCCTCATTCCACGTCGTTTAAACATGAGCAAAGCTTCTTGATACTTCTCCTCGGCGACGTCGGGAATCTCGGTGTCAGAAGAAGCAGTGGCGGCGGTTTCAACAAGGACAGTAGGTTCGGTGGTCGGTTCATGATGTTGCCTGGTGACGCAAATGACAGCGGTGGTGTCAGATGTACGGACAAACGAGAGCTTTGTCTGTTGATACCGTTGCGCGGAGAGTTTTTGGCTCGGTGATCCTTTGCGGGTCGTCCCAGCCGCCTTAGAGCACTCCCCTTGCGTGCGAATCGGCGGTGGCACGGGGACGTTGTCAACCACGACCGGTGCAGCTGTCACGGGAGAAGGCACGGGTGGCTGGGACGGCGACGGGAGGGGATCAGATGCGGCAGCGGCAGCGAAATCAGCTAGTGTTGGTTTCGGCGGTGGTGGAGGCTGAACAGGCCTACTACGCAATAAATCCAGGCCCGTCAACCCTACGGTCGGGCCGGGTGGGCTAGGTATGGCGGGGGCTTCACCATCGCCCGCCAGCGATGGGTCAGCCATGGACGGTAATTTGCGGCAAAAATAACGCAGACATACGGCGTCGAGCAGCTAGGCAAGTTACGGGGAAAAACAAAGATTGTTGGCGTTCTGGCTGGGGTTTGGTTGAGAGACGAGAACAGGCTGGAGGGGATGGAGGAAGAGACAGAACATAACATCACAATCTTCCCAACCCCAGACACATGGCGCGTCGACCACAGGAGTCGCGGCGTATGCGCTGGCACAAGCATCTTGCAAAGTTGGATAAGGGACAAGTTTCATGGCTAGGTGGGAAGCACGTGTCACCAGCATCTTGCATTGTTGGCCGTGTTTTTCAAGCGTGTTAAGTCAGCGGCGCACTGTGATTGGAAGATGTTACAGCATTATTGTGGTTCCAGGCTGGGCGCGGTGTGGTGTTGCGCCACCCAGGCAAAATAAACAGTGCGACAGTCACGGAGCGTAATTTACGCTGTACCAGGTCGGTGGTTGGGTACACTAGGCCCGGGGAAAATGCAGTATTCGCGTCAGGACAAGTCTCGACACTATCCTGACTCATCAGGGCTGTACCTACAGTGCTATCCTGAGGGCCCAGCATGAAAAATTACCATTATACTGATATCACAGGACAGACATTTGCATTGTGCTGTTTTTACAGGAGAGGCACTAAACACCTATCCTGAATTCAGGAGAATCAGGATAAATTATCCTGATAACGTAGGCCCTGCTGCGGTCTGCCATGTACGCTGTTCTACGCAAAGGTGGGATGTCCCTGTCATCAACCGAATCACAAGACAATCAGCAGCGACAGGCCAGGCCCCCCTGCTGCAGCGCACAAGCCGTCACCTGCACTGATGGTGGTGGCGTGGCAGCGAAGGAATTGAGAACAGTCCCTCTCAACGACCGAATCATAACAGGCGAGTCCGCAGCAGCAACACTTTTTTTTTGCAGCAATGCACGTCACTCCTCGTGATTTCTTATGCAGCACTGATGGTGGTGAAGTGGCAGAGATGGGATTGAGCACAGTCCCCCTCAGCGAACGAATCACAACAGGCGAGTCAGCACCACCAGCAACAGAAAGAACCCCTTCCTGCAGCAACGCAAGTCATCCAATTTCTTATGCAGCACTGATAATGGCGGCGTGGCAGGGTTGAGATTCAGAACAGTTCCTCTCAGCGACCGAAACACAACAGGAGAGTCGGCGGCAGCAACACGAACCTCGGTGCAACAGCCATCCCTCTGTCCCCTCATTTCTTATGCAGCACTGGTGGCGGCGTGGCAGCGGTGGGATTGAGACCAGTCCCTCTCATGGACCGAATCACAACAGGTGAATCAGTAGCAACAGACCCCCTTGCTGGAGCGACGCAAGCCATGTCCTCAATTCTTCTGCACTGGTGGCGGCGTGGCAGAGATGGGATTCAGAACAGTCCCCCTCAGCGACCGAATCACAACAGGTGAGTCAGCACCACCAGCAACAGACCCCCCTTCTATGCAGCAATGCACATCATCTCCTCATTTCTTCTGCAGCATTGATGGTGGCGGCGTGGCAGCGATGGGATTCAGAACAGTCCCTCTCAGCGACCGAATTACAACAGGCGAGTCAGCACCACCACCAGCAGCAACAGACCCAGGCGTCCCCAACCCCCCTCTCCTCTGCTCCGGAGTCCCCACAACACTCCTGCTCCTGCTCCTACTCCTGCTCCTCCCATCCCTCCCCACACTCCCAGTCCCGGCAGGAGAAGCAGAGTAACTCGCTCTCAGCTTCGGATCAACAATCACTTTACTCCGCTTCATAGCCCGAGACACCAGCTTCTGTGCTGCTGCCGATAATCCCCCTCCCGACGGCCCTCCTAACCCCCCTCCTCCGCTTACCAATTGACTCTGCCCTCCCCACGCGCCCATCCCAGCAGCACCACCACCAGGCGTCCCTTTCAACCCAGGAGACACAAAAGGAGACATCATCCCTCCTCCTCCTCCCCCTCCCCCTCCCCCTGCTCCTCCAACCCCTCGCACCGGCGTCAACCCAGCAGCGCGCAGCCGCCTCTCTCGAATGCTCCTTCCCGCGGACCTAGACAGCTGCACCCCTGCTTCGTCCCTCGCTGGAGCAGCAGCCATGGTGAATTGAGGGCCCCCAGCACCCACCCCTCCCACCTCATTGAACCCCACTGGAGTGTCCTCAGCGTCTAAACGCAGAGGCGTGCCATCTAGCTCTCCCCAGGTCATGAACGGGGAAGCATCAACGCCAGGAGCAGGAGATGGTGTTGCTACATAGTCGTATTCTGACTGCTGCTGACCTCTCCCGTCTCCTCCTCTTCCCACTCCTCCTCCTGCCCCTCCTGCCCCTCCTGCCCCTCCTGCTCCTCCTGCTCCTCCTGCTATCCCCGCTCCTACAGGTGTTCTCCTCAAATCCTCCAAATCGTATCTTTTCCTCCCATCGCGTTCCCCCGAAGGGTCTATGTAAGGCAGGGGAGTTCCCCCCGGTAACGGCGTGAACAGAGTCGCAGCTATTTCCTCTGGAGGCTGCTTCTGCTGCTGCGCCGTCTGGTTACCACCACCCGTAACACTACCGTGAAACCTCGTGTTCGCTTTATGGACTTCCTTAGGTGGTCCTGCTGATCGAAGCTCCTTTTCTCTCACGGAAAAAGGGGCATCCTCTCTACAAGCAGGTGGATACATTAGCGCATTACGCGCAGTGTATTTCCACGTTTCTAGTGTACTGGTCGTTTGCCCCGACGACCCAAACCCATCCGTTTTCCGATCCTCGTTCTCACCCGTCCCCGTTATAAGCTTCACCGCTTCTCCTGAGCCAGTCAGCTGCTTCACCCCTGTCTGCCCCATACCAATCTTTCCCCCTTCCCCGCCTTCACCCCCTTTCCCCCCTTCCGCTCCTCCCCCTGGTCCTTGTTCCAAAGCCAGCAGGTGTGACACCTTAGCCATACGCCGCTTATTATCCTTCTTCTTAATCTCCACAAACGAAGCGTTATCCTCGCTGGTGTACCTCTTAACGAATTCGTCAAGCGACAGGCTTGTATCGGGTCCTCCGCCCCCCTCTCCCTCTCCGATCCCCCCCTCTCCTTCCATCCCCGTTGCCGCCGCCGCTGCTGCTGCTGCATCACCCTCTACTCTCCCCCTGCTACCTATCCTTCGTCCTGTTAGTCTCTCCTCATCTCTATCCCACTCCGACGTCCTTAGATCGCCTTCGGATAAGAGGCTAGGCGCGGGACTAGGCGCGCCCGCGGAAAGCGCGGGAGTCGATAGGGTGGAACCGCCTCGACCGCTCCTTAATCCACTACGTAAGTCACTCCGTCCCTCGCTCCCGCGGCTCGACCCTCCACCAGCAGCAGCAGAAGCTTCCGCGCGTCTTCGTAAAATATTCACCTGCGCCTCGCGAATCAGCACAGGATCACCGGATCGCACCGCTTCCAACCACTCCAGCCGGTTCTGGAGCCGCGGAAGATCCGGAAAGTAATCCCGCTGAACGATCCGCTCGATTGCTTCGATATAAGTGTCCTCGTCAAGAACAACTGGCGCGCGGCGAGGACGCGGACGCTTCGCGGGAGGGGGACCCATGCGCTCCCCCCGCCGAGGGGTGGCGGAAGGAGTGTTAATACCAGACGTGGTAAGTGCGGTTGTAAGCGGTAATGATTTGGCTGAAGCGGCTTTTGCCGGAGGGGAGTTTTTCGAGCCGGAAGGGGGCGAGGGAGGCTCGGAAGTGGGAGGAGGCGAGCTGATGTGGCGCGGGGAATGACCTGGGGAAGCCAACATCGCGAAGATATTGATCCGACGACAGCGTCGACGACGGTTACCAATACAGTGGATTTCAGCGGCAAATGGGAAGCCCTTTTACTTCGCCAGCAGCTACTAAGATAACACCTGCTTCCTCCTCTCAAGAAGCTCGCCGAATTTGAACAGACAAAGCACACGCCTAACAAACACTCTGGTGGTGTGGTGGTACATGTGTCAGGAGGAGGAGCCAAGGCGATGGGCTCGAGGGGTGGGAACACTGTTGATGGCGGGAAAGCTTTGCCAGACGAGCCACGGAAGTGGTTACGACAATTTTATGGTTGCGACAGGGACGGGGTTTTGAGCGAACCGTGGCGAAGTAGTTACCTGACATCGAAAGCCAGATGAGAGTTGTCACGGCAACACTATTCCCGTTTGTAAGTCTGTGAGCTATGAAGTGAATGTACACATCAGCAGTAGACAATGTAATAGCTTTATTGGCACCATTACTATTATAAAGATAAATGTTGCGGCTACTTCATGCCTTAGCTCACATAGACATGCCTTGCCTTGCCTTCACGGGTTTGTTCGATCCAGATGACCAATCGATTGCTCACTGCTTCTACACCACAACCCTTGGTATCATCATCTTTGTTAGTCCTGCTTCCCCCCATTCACCTGACTGACTTCTTTGCATTTTACACTATTCACCAGTTCGGTCAGGTTAACTATCCTGTAGCCTTGCTGCTTTAACTTGGGCAGCAAAATCCGCAGAATCTGCGCATGGAGGTACACAAGATGGTGGATAAGAGTCGGCAGGGCACCAGAGGTGGCAGTTTTGGATAAGAGTCGGCAGGGCACCAGAGGTGGCACCAGAGGAGTAAAGAGGATCAAGTGAGAGGAAATGGATACGGAAAATTAGCCAGTAAGCACCAGGAGCAACAGAAAGGCCAGTGGGAAAGCCCATAAACCATACCAAGGCCAACAATATCACGAAAATAAAAATCGTACAACAATATCACGAAAATGTCAACATGCAACACTGAGGCGAGAACGCAGAGAGCGGGGCTTACATGGTTGGTTTGTGGGCCCTGCTGCGGGCGATCGTGAAGAATGATAATGGCTCCTGGATACATCTGCATGGGAGGAAGGAGGAGGGAATCGATGGATGGAGTGGGAGTGTATGTGGGAGTTTTCAGATAATGATGGGCCCTGGATACTTATGCATTGGGGCATAAGGGTGAGGGAATGGATGAATGGAGTGGGAGACTGTAAGATACTTTTTTGATGATCATGGCTTGTCTATGTGTTTCAACCAGCACAGCAGTCATACTAGAAGGCTCACTCACCTTCCACAGGCAGAAGCGGGCAAGGAAGCCTCCAAGCTCTTGAAGAGCAGGTCTCAAGGCAACAGAGTGACTCAATGACCACCCCAGGAGGCATAAAGGACAGCATTGGAAGTCTTTGACAAGAAGAAGTCACCTCACATAAGCCACAAGTAAGAAACGCTGCACCCACCTTCCACAGGCAGAAGCGCGCAAGGATGGCCCCGCGCCCCTTAAAAAGCGGATCCAGGGGGAACACAGAGCCCAGGGCGAGCCTGTACCCGTGGTTGCGCGCCCTGTGCTGCATGTGTGGCGTGGCAAAGCCATAGCCCTGGTGAGGAGATAAGACAGGGAAAGGAGGGCACCAGCGTAAAGAGGGCAGCAGGGGAGAGCAGTAGGGAAGTATGGAGTGTGAAGTAGAGTGAGCGGGGCTAGTTTCCCCATATAGTGGGAAACACGGAGCCCAGGGCGAGCCTGTACCCGTGGCTGTGCGCCCTGTGCTGCATGTGAGGCGTGGCGAAGCCATAGCCCTGGCAGGGGAGAGCAGGAGGGAGTGTGGAGAGTAGAATGTGGTTATTAAGTGGTGAGTGATTGAGTGAGGGAGAGAGTGAGTGAATGGGGGAAACACGGAGCCCAGCGTGAGCCTGTAAGCATGGGAGTGCTAGTCAAAACAGGGGTCTAACGGAGGTCAAGGAGAGAACAAAATAGCGATGCGATCAGAGAAGAAACCAGCTGACATAGAGAGAAGAACCTTACCGGTCTGAACCACTTGATTTGACGGCCATGGGAGTCAAGAGGGAAGAAGCGGTGGAGCTTGGCGTCCACTTCGAGCATGGATGCCATGAACTGCTTCTGTGGGGAGGGGAGAGGGGAGAGGGGTTGGAAGCGGGGGATTAAGGCATTGGCATGCCAGGGGGGTGGATTGGGTTGGGGCAGGCAAAGAGTAAGAAGCGGTAGAGCTTGGCGTCCACCTCGAGCATGGATGCCATGAATTGCTTCTGTGAGGAGGGAGAGGGGGGAACGGGAAGGGAGGAGAGAATCAAGGCATTGGCACGCCAATAATATGCACTGGGGCATACAAGGAGGAAGAAGTGGTGGAGCTTGGGGTCCACCTCGAGCATGGATGCCATGAATTGCTTCTGTGGGGAGGGGAGAGGGGGGAGGGGACGTGGAGGAAAGTCAGGAGGATGGACGAGGAATGCCAACTCTTGCAGGAGGGGAGGAAGAAGCGGTGGATCTTAATGTCCACCTCGAGCCTTGACGCCATGAATTGAATCTGTAGAAAGAGGGGGGGAGGGAGTGATGAGTGGAAGCGGAGCGCTGAGAGGGAGGAGAGGAGTGAAAGTGGAGGAACGGGGCTGCTTAAAGTCCACCTCGGTTGCCCTGGACTGTTTTCTGAGGGGAGCAAGGACACAAGGTGGGGACGATGTTTGAGTGGACTCAGAAACAAGGCAATGAGATGAGTATCATAACATTTAGCTTGGTTGCCTTAACTGTTTTTTTAGTGGAGGAACGATACAACGTAGATAGAGAGGGGCGAGAGGGAACATTAGCACAATATGGAAAACGTGATATGGATATGAATGCGAGGATAGTGCGACTGATTAAACAGAGTACAAATGTGAGCTCATCAAAGTCAAGGGACCATACCGTTCGTTTTGAGAATTCTCAAAGCGAACCTGCAAGAAAAGGGAACATGGATGTGAGCTCCATCATAGCGAGGGGTACGTACGGTGGAGAGCAGGCAGCCTGGATAGTCCGCCATCATGTGATTCGCCACTTCATGCCCTGCCATGGTGCCATTGTGCCATGGAGATGATGAATCAGGGTTGCAACATGGACAAAATGGATGGGGCACCTTAGAATATCTGCATTGTGATTGGCCACGTCATGCCCTGCCATGGTGTTATTGAAAAAAAGCAGCAGGTTGCCCCAAGTGCAAGTGTAAGCAGAATAATTTATATGTTTTTACCACACTGCAGCTTCCACCATACAACACCGCACCACACCGCGTCGCACCACATACCATCTTGCACCATGCGCTCCACGAGGTCAGGGTATTTATCAATGTTAGACCCGATAAGAAAGAAGGTGGCTGAACACCCGTGCTCCTTGAGAATATCCAGAGTCTGTTTCATGAGAGCAAGTGGGGAGGGGTGGAGAGGGGTGGGGATGGGTGGAGTTGGGTGGAGATGGATGGGTGCAGTGCAGGGAGGGGGAGGGAGGTGGCTGAACACGTGTGCTCCTTGCAAAAATCCAGAGTCTGATCCGAAAGAGCAGGTGGAGAGGGGTGAGGACGGGTGGAGAGGGGTAGGGGGAGGGAGGGGGAGGACATGAAATGACGACACTGTATATTCTGCCTGAAACTGAGACGTATTAAAGAACGGCTCAAATCAATTTCTGCTTGACCGGGGTTATTCAGCCACTGTGGCACGGATAGGCGGAGGAGCACGTTGATGGGGTGAAGGTTGATTTGGCGTTAGGGCCATCGTCGTTTGTGAGTCCCACGATTTCACGTTTGAGTAAACTCAAAAGTCAATAGCCAGCACAAGGGAACGCAAGCTTACCTCGCTGGTGAATTTCCCATTAGGGCCATCGTCGATTGTGAGGCCGACGATTTTCTCTGAGAGGAAGGTGAAGGCCGGGTAGGGGGGTAGAAATAGAGTTCTGAGAGGAGAGACGGAAAGAACGGAGACATACGGCTCGATCCTTTGTTGTTTTTCAGGCCCACAATCATCTCTGACGGGATGGCACGAGCAGGCAGGAGAGTTACGGAGCACATGACGAGGAAAAGGAGGCGACGGGTGGAACAACTCAATTTGATTGCTGCTTGTCACATGACATGTATTTAAGAAAATGTAAAGGCCAGGCAGGGGAGAAAAGTGGTAGAGTGACAGGGGAAACGAAACCATGGGTGATTATTTAGATCAATCCACTGGCAATTATGAGGCTGAAGTTTCTCAATGCGTTCAGACGAGGTTAGGAGGAAGGAGACAATTAACCATACGCCAGGAAACGGGGGCAGAGAAAACTATAGTAGGGAGAATTTCGAAGGAGCAGACATTGCAGAGGGAAAATTTAGGGAGCAAGTTTGCAAAAATTAGTCTGGAGTGAACAGAGACGAGAAAATTGCAACGTTCTAGACAAGTGCACAGATAAGAGCTTCGGAAAATGTAAGCACATGCACCTCTAAGAAAAAGCAGCTGGTAAAACATATACATATGTTAATATATTTTCAGATGGCAGAAGTGGCTCTGGAAAAAACCAATATCGTTGGGGTCTCTTACCTTTGGTGTCAACTTCAAACAACACTGCTGGCTGGAAGAGACGGCTGATGGCGATGGCCCATCAGCCGTTGGTGTTTGAACCAATCTTAACGTCTCATCGCATTTCTCTTACCTTTGGTGTCAACTTTAAACAACACTGCTGGCTGGAAGAGGCGGCTGATTCAGATGATCCATCAGCCATTGGTGTTTAAACCAATCTTGAGATCTGATCACATTTCTCTTACCTTTGGTGTCAACTTCAAACAACATTGCTGGCTGGAAGAGGCGGCTGATTCAGATGGTCCATCAGCCATTGGTGTTTAAACCAATCTTGAGTTCTGATCACATTTCTCTTACCTTTGGTGTCAACTTCAAACAACATTGCTGGCTGGAAGAGGCGGCTGATTCAGATGGTCCATCAGCCATTGGTGTTTAAACCAATCTTGACATCTGATCACATTTCTCTTACCTTTGGTGTCAACTTCAAACAACATTGCTGGCTGGAAGAGGCGGCTGATTCAGATGGTCCATCAGCCATTGGTGTTTAAACCAATCTTGACATCTGATCACATTTCTCTTACCTTTGGTGTCAACTTCGAACAACACTGCTGGCTGGAAGAGGCGGCTGATGGCGATGGCCCATCGAGGCTGGAAGACCACCCTGGGGACGAAGGAGGGGGTTAGAGGGATTGGTTGATACAAGAATATTACCAAAACAAAGGTGAAAACAAACATCCGCGAACCAAAACGAGATAAACATTATTTGACGCGCGGAGCCGTGACATATGACATGACAACTAGGGCACCTATATGAAACTTGTTTTGAAAAATCTTTCGAAATGCAATAAGTTGGTATTATGTCTTTTCAGAAACCATCCGTACCAAGCACTGGTCCACGAGAACAATGTCACAGCTTCCCAGTGGGAAGAAAGACGTGGGAGATGGACACAGAGAGGACTAGACGCAAGAGGCGGACGCGAGGGGATGCGTCAATCCAGAGTTCACAGGCTGGCAGAGCGGATGAAACCTGCCAAGCCTAGAAATGTCTCCAGAGGCGTATGCGATTGCTAGTAACAACTGAACACACGTTTCACGTCGCGAGCGTGGAGATATTCAGACAGGAGCGCTAAGCTCGGATGCTTATCCATCGTCCTTTAAGATTCAGAAACGTACCCTACTACCGTGAGAACCACCGCAATCAGGCAAATGATGCTGGCGACTGGCGATTGGCCGATCCAGTAAGAACTTTTCGATTGACTGAGCCCGAATAGAAACTCCACGCCGAGCATTGTGATAACAACGGGCTGTTCTTATAAATAGTCGGTGCCGTATTCAGGAGACTATTAGATTGTCACGATTCGAAGATTTTTGTGGAAAAAGAAGCTGAGAAAGTAGCGTCGCTTGACGAAGCGGTTTTGGGAAGTGGCGTAACGAGACGAATCACCGTTTACAGCTTCAGTTTCCCACCCGAAGCACTATATAAGACTGTCAATAACTGTTCAAAGCCACACACACGCCGTGAGAAACTCCGTCAGGAATGACCGAGTCATGGATTCAGAAGTGAAGAATTTCCTTAGTTACCGTTCCGGGGAAGACGGACAGACTTCTGGGATTTGATGATGGTTGGCATTGACGATGGTTGGGGATGGGAGTTAGGGCGTGTTACATTTGGCCGTCCGAACGATTTCGTGGTTACGGAACTCGTTAAATCTCGGCAGTGAGTTCGTTAGGGTCTAAACAACGTCGCATTCTTCGTATTGCCTCCTTACGACATTGAATTGGTCGCAACGCGACCGTATGACGTCGCAATATTCGTACGTGTCCGGACAGCCGTCCGGAATTTCAGCAACTTAAAAAAATGTAGCACGCCCTGAGGTTAGATTTCCCGATGAACGGGAAAGAAATCTAGAAACTTGGACCGTCCGATCGCATTTCTGGTCCAATCATCAACACCCTAAGCGAACAGGTCGCAGACTCGCGGCTGGTGTCAGTGTCAGAACCTAGTGGCGGGAAAACTACGACATGGAGCTCGCCCATATTGCGTGCAAAATAGAATAATGTACTGCAATCACTTATTTCAGACTCAACAGCACTGAATATGACAAGCCGTACGTAACAAATATTATTGACATGGTGGCTTCATTTCAGCTCCTTCATCAACTCAAGCTCTTCTCCTTGTAAGTCAGCTTTAATCTCTTGAGGATGCCTCCACCGTAGCAAACACAGGCAAGGATGCTCGATTGCCTTCTCTATTCCCATCTGCCGCGAGCAATGGGGATCCATCCCCTTCCTTCCGTTCCCTCATTGCACCCATGCTCTTTGACACAGGCACTCGAGTTTCCCCATTCATAGCAGCAGAGGACACGGCTGGGAAGGATGCAGATGCCGTGAGTGGTGGCGCTTGTGGTGGGCCAAAGAGATAATAGTAGGTGCTGGTGCTGAGTTGGGACACTGAATCACGAAATTGAGACAGCTGAGAGGTGGAAGTGGAGATTTGATGAGGGGGAGGTGAAACACGAAACAACAAAAACAAAGAATGTGGAGGATGAAGAAGCGTAAGTTATTGATTGCTTGACACAGAAAATATCGTAGATAGAGATCCAGAAGCACGGGTTGCGTCGGACACAAAGCATGTGGAGCATGATCAGAGGCGCCTTAAGTGAAGTTGAACAAACCTGAGTTGATGCTTGATCATAGAATTCCAACGTCACATCTCCAGCATATGCAAAGCGGTTGACCCACACTGCAGAGCGCCACAAGCGAACACAACATCACAGAAAAGAAGGATGAAGATAATAATAATTAGCACGACTAATTCGCAAAATATCTGAACATCGTAAAGCACACGATCACTTAACCGTCCAAGATGCTATGCTTCCACCGATACCTCAAAGTTCACACCTGGATCAATCCATCTCCAATCACACACACACACCTGGAGTGGGGCCAACGCCTAGCGCTTGGCAAAACTCGTCGCAGAAGTGGTTGCAATTGCGCGCCAGCATGTCGTAGGAGCGTCCAGGCCATTCTTTACTCAATCTCCGGAGCAGCTCGCCTACTTTCTTCTCCCCCATGCCTGTGACACCCATCTCTATCGTCTCCCTGAATGTGTACATGGGGTTCCCCTTAGGCGGACAGCTGAACACCCCTGACCCTCGCTCGCAGTAGCCAAACGACCACTCCTCGCCATAAACCTGGCGTGAAGGAGAGCGATAGGTATGATGGGAAACAAGTGTGGAGACAAGCACGGAGACAAGTGTGAGAAGAGAAAAGCGACGAAGATGACACGTAATAGGGAAACGTAATAACGGGAGACAGAGTATAAATGCAGGTCGTGCAGAACGGGGAACTGAGAGATAGTAATATGGATAGAGCCCTTTATAAACAAAAGGACCAACCCAAGACCTCTATTTTTCGCTCCACGCACTACGTTCGTACACGCTCAAACGCGTAAGAAAATGCTCACAAAATTGGAGAGACATCTTCAGTCAACGTTAACCGGATCAAAACGCAACTACACACACCTCCACAGTCAATTGGAAGTATAATCACCAAAACGCTTGTCTATCCTCTACGGCTCCAGAGAAGGCTCCGCGGGAAATACAAATCTTTACCAAGTTCGGTTCATGAAAACCACGACGCACTTTCACGGCTTCATGGACAACAACCTGAGAAACACGAACTTATTGACAAATTCCGATCGCCGATCACAATGCACTTCTAAGGTTCAATGAAAAACGAGATCTCAAAGCATTCTTATGTGCTTCATAGGGCTCTACGCAACTGGACGGGTTCCCCTATGCGAGCTACTAGAACTTGTTCAGGACTCCGACGTAACGTATCTCCGGCAAACATGGCTCCCTTGCTCAGGCTGGGTCGTACCAAGAGATTACGACGCACCTTCACAGCTTCCACGTTTACGCCATTACATTCACCTCTACACCTATGGCTCTAGTTCCGAGCTTAGGCCATTACAGCTCCTGTACAACGTGACTCAGTCATGACCAAGGCGCACCTCGACAGCTCCATGGAAGATCCCGCCGATCCCCAGCGCGTCTTTAGTGACCCTGTTGATTTGCAGGATGGCGTTGTTCGTCTTGGGATTCGGGCTGTTCGTGATGTCGTAAACATGCAACGAAACTGTCGCCATGACTCTTCACGGCCTAACCGCCTATGGAATACTCGTAAACACCAGCAGGTTATGAAATCTGAGGTTTCTGCAAAGTTCTGTAAGAGTCAAATCGAACTACTAGTAAGTGTAATTCCACCAGCTGATCCACCACGCTAGCTACCGGTAAGACAGCAAGAAAAGCCTGTCATTGACTGCCTACAGCTGCGTAGTCAGTCGGTCAGTTAGTCAGACTATCACACCGTTTCGCTCCCACAGCCAAACGGAGGACCTAGAGAACCACAACCACAACTACTAACTGAGCCCTTCAGAGAGTCACGTCACTTCCCGATTCCTGAAAGCTGATAGAATACAGTATAGCACAGGAGGAAGAGGCTGGAGGCCGAGAATTTCAGGCTGCGGTACTTGTTTGTCAGGGGGCAACTCCAGTCAACCTGGTCCCGGGAACAAACTGTACAGTACTGCGTTCGGACTCGAAAGATGGGCGCAATACGGCGGAAGGCGGCGGAGGGCAAGTGGAGTGGGGCGGAGGTCGTGGTTGGGGGTGGCATGGATCTGTCAGGCGGAAGCCCACTGTGCTGGGCCAATGGGGATTGGCGAAAGCGGAAGTCTCTCCCCGCTTGCGGAACTTAGCCGTGCATCCACTGACGGAAATTGGCGGGGACACTCAACTTGCACGTCATTGGTCAGTTGCTACCAACACCCCTTGAAGATTGCGATCTCGCTAAAAGCCACTCGTTGCAGCGCGAGTCCATACAGGCATTCATAAGATGTTAGGCGAGTCGTTGGTAAACAAAGGAATATTTGTTATATGAATCTATGGGCATTTGCGATGCACATATGCAGCTCCATGCTCCTCATACCTGCAAACACGAATCAAAGAGGTTAATACGACAAACTAAATAAATATGATGTCCGCTGAGCCTTGGTTGGTTGATACAACACACACTGAACCACTTACTCTGCCTTGGAGAGCCACATTTGTTGAAACGAACCCAAGGAAGCGAGGATGCTACCCCCAATCCATACACTGTACATCAGCAAAAACCACGTGGACATGGTTCAATACATTAGCGAACGCTTGAGAGAACGATGAAGGATATTATGTGCAACGGCACAGTACCTGAACTTCCTTTCCATAATATTGCCGCTTGCCAAAACCTTCACTTTCGCTGTTTGTGGTGCCTCCTGCAGAGGGTTAGACACAGAGAATAACACCATAGTGAGGCAAATTGGGCCCTTCGTACAGGTAATTAGGCAATCAAGAGCAATTAACAGGAAAACAACCCAAAAAACTATTGTTAAGAGAGAAAACTACTCAAAGTGGCAGAAGCCACTGGTTTTGGTTATGCCAAAAATAAGGGGGAGGGAGAGGGGGAGGGGGGAAATCAACATCTTGGTTGACATGTGGTGACTCACCGTCATGAGCTCCTTCTCCAGGCACTCTTTGACCTGCTGCATCGCCATAGTGACTCCCAACAGATTTGGAGTCGACTCAAAAAGAGGGGGGGGAGAGGAGAGGGGGGCGCTATGTGGTGACTCACCGCCATGAGCTCTTTCTCCAGGCGCTCCTTGATCTGCTGCATCGCCATAGCTCCTCCAGACAGTTATAGAGTCGACTCAAAAAGAGGGGGGAGGGGGTGGTGGGGTGCTTTGATTGTGGTGACTCACCGCCATGAGCTCTTTCTCCAGGCGCTCCTTGATCTGCTGCATGGCCATCGTGCCTCCAGAGGTGAAGTTTGAGTCGACTCAACAAAGGGTGGAAGGGAGGGAGGGCGGGGTGCTATGGGGTGACTCACCGCCATGAGCTCTTTCTCCAGGCGCTCCTTGATCTGCTGCATGGCCATTGTGCCTCCGGACAACTGCCAGAATCACATTAACACACACATGGTTGAGGAACATAACTCTTAATTTTCCCTGGGGTACTTTCAAGGTCAAAGGAGCAGAATAGGGAGCGGGAAGAAGAAACGAGCCACAACCTGCGAAAACCTGCTTATGGCTGCCAAAAGCAGGATACCTGGTTTTGGCAGCCATAAGCAGTAGAGGTCACGACCCTCACCGACACAAAGCTGTAGAGGACTTTTTAGGCGCTAAAAATTCGTCTCAATTTTTGTGAGGCGCCTCAATAAGCAGTAGAGGTCACGGCCCTCACCGACACAAAGCTGCAGAGGTCTTTGTGGGTGTCCAGTCCACATGGCACTCGATCCTGATGTCAGTTTTTGAGTCGACTCAAAAGTTAAACTGGTACGACCCTCAACAACACAGAGCTGTAGCGGCCTTTGTGGGTTTGAATGGTCTTCGAATGGTCCACATGGCACTCAACCCTGATGTCAGCATTTCCATACCTCTTCAAGAATTTCACGTACGACTCTCATCAGCAAAGAGCTGTAGGGATCCTTGCATATGTCCACATCGCACTTGCTGATGCTGTCAACCACCCTCAAGCAAGCATGCCATGAGGACCATCAGTCCATCACCCCGTCATGCATCAGCACTCTCACACCCCTTGACTCCCTGCATCATTCTCTCACCAGCACAGAGCTGTAGAGGTCCTTGCGAATATCCACATCGCACTGAATCATTCATCAGGATTAGCATACCATACCCCTTGCATCATACCCCTTGCATCATACCCCTGCATCATACCCCTTGCATCATACCCCTGCATCATACCCCTTGCATCATACCCCTGCATCATACCCCTTGCATCATACCCCTGCATCATACCCCTGCATCACACCCCTGCATCATACCCCTGCACCCCCTGCATCATACCCCTGCACCATTCTCTCACCAGCACAGAGCTGTAGTGGTCCTTGCGAATATCCACATCGCAGTCAACTACAAAACCACAATTGCCATACCCCATACAACATCACGATTGCCATACCCTCACAGAAATGTTTGCCTCTCACCAGCACAGAGCTGTAGAGGTCCTTGCGAATATCCACATCGCACTTGCTGATGCTGTCAACCACCTGGGAAGAGGGAAAGAATGGAGGAATAAATATTCGAATTAACAGGGGAATTTTTGCACCACACTACATGCTGTACGGGGTAGGTACTAGGTGGGATGGTAGGGGAAGGTAGAAACAAATAAACTGTTTTCAAAGGCACCTCAAGAAAAAGATTAAAAAGTGCAGAGGCACGTGTATGAAGATTTATTTTGAGACGTCTCAAATTAAAAAGTGCAGAGGCAGGTAGGAAGGTAACGGAAGGTGAGAGTGGCATATGACGAGGGAAACGGACGCGTTGACAGCACATGAGGTGAAGTGCACATGGGCGCAACACATTGCCACAGTTCCTCACATGCTCGTACCATTCTCGCTATCCCTGGTGACTTGGCAGCATCAGCAATGGCCTCTGCTGTCCATCCGCCACTGGACGGGTCGGCTGAAGCAATTGACTGCAGGGCAGAGGTAGAGTGGGAGAGCAGGGGAATGGGAGCGTAAGGGGAATGAGGAAGTGAGCAAATGGGCGAGTGAGGGGATGAGGACTACGGGGGGCGCGCAGCGAGAGAAGGATATTCAAGGAGCCTGCTTTTGAGTCGACTCAAAAGGAGCCTACGGAAACGTGATTTTTGAGGCGCCTAAAAAATCACCTCAATGCGTGCAGCGCAGCGCAGTGAGAGACGGATATTCAAGGAGCCTACGAAAACGTTTCACTGAACGGAAGCAGATTGACTGCATGGAAAGGGAGAGACAGAGTAGAAGACGGGAGAGTAGAAGAGTAGGGCGTAGAGGCAGGTTACTTTGCTGGCGATGGTACACTGAGGGCAGGTGGGCACTGGGGCAGGTGGGCCTGGGGCAGGTGGGCCTGAGGCAGGTGGGTACTGGGGCAGGGGAAGGTTGCACTCACAGATAACAGGCTTGGATTGAAGAGTGCATCAGCCACTTTGAACCGGTCGCTGCCCACCTCCAGTACCCTGGGCGGAGGGGGGTTGGGTTGGATTTGGTTGGATTGGGTTGGATATATATAGTTGATGGGTTGACTAGCAGCCCAGACCAGCCATACCATGTGTTGCCATCCCTCTATAACCTACCCGGCCCCACCTTTAAATGCCGTTTCTCCACACTCCCTTCAACCACTCAGCAAACCCCACCATATAGTGCCACCCCTCTGCATCCCACTCAGCAATTGACCCAAATCCACCATCCCACCTAACCCCAGCACTGCTTCACAATTTGCCCAGCCACACACACACCTGTTGACACCCATCTCAATCCCATTCAACCACTCACTGGCCGTCTGGCAGTTCATATGCCACTGTGGGTACATTGGAGAAGGAGAGATCTAAACGGACAAGCATGGGCGGAAGGGTGGGACAGAGAGGGTTGTACACAGTACAGTACACCGCTCTGAGAAATTCCAAAAGTAAACCACAACCCACCACTGAATATCAAGCAGAATGAAATGCAGGAAGCACAGACTCCTTATAACTACAGCCATTTCATTCTAGGCAAGGCGAATCAGGTGAACACACGTCATCATCGGAAAGGGAGCATCACGGTCTTCATTGCATTGCAGCCGTTCAGAATCAGGCAAGCACAGCCGTTCAGATTCAGGCAAGCACAGCCGTTCAGATTCAGGCAAGCACAGCCGTTCAGATTCAGGCAAGCACAGCCGTTCAGATTCAGGCAAGCACAGCCGTTCAGATTCAGGCAAGCACAGCCGATCAGATTCAGGCAAGCACAGCCGTTCAGATTCAGGCAAGCACAGCCGTTCAGATTCAGGCAAGCACAGCCGTTCAGATTCAGGCAAGCACAGCCGTTCAGATTCAGGCAAGCACAGCCGTTCAGATTCAGGCAAGCACAGCCGTTCAGATTCAGGCAAGCACAGCCGTTCAGATTCAGGCAAGCACAGCCGTTCAGATTCAGGCAAGCACAGCCGTTCAGATTCAGGCAAGCACAGCCGTTCAGATTCAGGCAAGCACAGCCTTTCAGATTCAGGCAAGCACAGCCGTTCAGATTCAGGCAAGCACAGCCGTTCAGATTCAGGCAAGCACAGCCGTTCAGATTCAGGCAAGCACAGCCGTTCAGATTCAGGCACATAGCAGCATACGCACCATCGTAAGGAGCATCGGGCACGCGGCACACGGTCCGCTACAGACCACACCTCACCACACCTCACCACACCTCATCACACCACACCACGCGTCACAGATCCAAGGGACACAAATTGCGTCAGGTGAATACGCGCAACACACCATCATAGGGAGCATCAGGCATGCGGCACACGGTCTCCATCAAACCACACCACACCACACCACACCACACCACACCACACCACACCACACCACAGCCACTCACATTCATGCAATCGCAGCCACTCAACTTATCAGATAACGCAACGCACCATCATAAAGAGCATTAGGCATGCGGCACACGGTCTCCTTCAAACCACACCACACCACAGCATACCACATTCATGCAATCGCAGCCACTCAACTTATCAGATACCGCAACGCACCATCGTAAGGAGCATCGGGCACGCGGCACACGGTCTCCTTCATATCTGCTGCGGTCGCCTTCTGCATGTACAGGCGGTAGCTGTCCGTGGTGTTGGGATAGGCTTGGTCCACTAGCTGTAAGGTTAGAACGTGGGAGAGACAAATTGGGGAGGGAGGAGAGGCACTGGGCACGTGGCACAGACGGTCGCCTTCTGCATGTACAGGCGGTAGCTGTCCGTGGTGTGGGGGTAGGCCTGGTCCACTAACTGAGAGGAGATGGGGTGGACAGGGAGAGAGGCAGAGGGAAGGAGACGGAGCAAGGGAGCGGCTGAGGCAGCATGAGATACACAACGTCTCCTTCATATCTGCTGCGGTCGCCTTCTGCATGTACAGGCGGTAGCTGTCCGTGGTGTGTGGGTTGGCTTGGTCCACTAACTGAGAGAGAGAGAGGCAGAGGGAGACGGAGGGAGGGAGCAAAAGGAGAGGGAGGAGCAGCAGAGGGAGCATGGGAGACACACAGGATCTTTCCTTCATGTCTGTTGCTGTCGCCTTATGCATGTGCAGGCGGTACCTGTCTGTCTGGGTGACTTTTGAGTCGACTTTTGTTTGAGACGTCTCAAAAGCACCCTCTCTACACCAGGCGGTACCTGTCTGTCTGGGTGACTTTTGAGTCGACTTTTGTTTGAGACGTCTCAAACACACCCTCTCTACACCAGGCGGTACCTGTCTGTCTGGGTGACTTTTGAGTCGACTTTTGTTTGAGACGTCTCAAACACACCCTCTCTACACCAGGCGGTACCTGTCTGTCTGGGTGACTTTTGAGTCGACTTTTGTTTGAGACGTCTCAAACACACCCTCTCTACACCAGGCGGTACCTGTCTGTCTGGGTGACTTTTGAGTCGACTTTTGTTTGAGACGTCTCAAACACACCCTCTCTACACCAGGCGGTACCTGTCTGTCTGGGTGACTTTTGAGTCGACCTTTGTTTGAGACGTCTCAAAAGCACCCTCTCTACACCAGGCGGTACCTGTCTGTCTGGGTGACTTTTGAGTCGACTTTTGTTTGAGACGTCTCAAACACACCCTCTCTACACCAGGCGGTACCTGTCTGTCTGGGTGACTTTTGAGTCGACTCAAAAGTCTTCTCTCCTTCATGTCTGCTGCTGTTGCCTTGTGCACGTGCAGGCAGGAAGTAGCTGTTTGTCTGTTGTGCTGAATTGGTGTTCCATAGGACCAGGAAATGAGTGACGAGCAAGCAAGGGTCGAGCATAAACGAACTCCAAGCAGGCCAGGAAACAGCATACCTCAAACTGGCCCGGTCGGATCAACACTCGCTTGAACGAGAACCGTGGGCGGACCTGAAGACAGCGACACAAAAGCGAGGGAAGGGGTAAGAGAGGTTGGCTGGTTGGAAAGAAATTTCTGCCAGGGAATGACTATCCCTCCCACTGACATGTAGACTGTCAGTTGATGCTTATGCCACATCCTATGAAGCCGATGCTTTTGCCTCTCCCTGCCCAAATCGCACCTTTTCACTGCCCTGAAGCATCGGGCTTTGCTGGTCACAATAAACTGCAACTCTCGTACGCCCAGATCTGCTCTCACTATCCTTCAGCCTTGCCTTTTCAGCAGATTCAAAGGGCATTCCCATTCACACCTTTTGCCTGCCCACGGATCGTAGCAGAAACTCTGTGAGTGCATCCCCAGCCACAGGTGAGCGACGGAGGGACTGAGGGGAGGGAAAGGAGGGGACGGAGGAGATGTGTGGGGAGGAGTGGAGACGGGTGGAAACGGGTAGAGAGGAAGTTGGCAAGCAGGGAGACGAGAGGAACTCTGTGAGTGCATCCCCGGCCACAGGCGAGCGACGGAGAGACTGAGAGGAGGGAAGGGAGGGGATGAAGAGGGGTGGAGAGGGGTGGGGAATGTTGCAGAGGGGTGGAGAGAAAGTGGGCGAGCAGGGGAGAAAGAGGAACTCTGTAACTGTGAGTGACGTTGCCGGCCACAGGCAAGGGACGGAGAAAGACCGCAGAGAAAGGGAGAAAGTGTGTGTTTTGAAACATGTCAAAGAGTGATGCAGAGAGTGTGGGAATGGGAGGAAGACACACAGGTTGGTGAGGAAGAGAGCACGTCAGTGAAAGGCTTGCAGGCTACGGGAAAGCAAGCCGGACGTACAGTTCCACACACATGTTACATGTATGATATTCTATATATTCAATATATTCCTTGTACACAGAATTGAACAAGGCGAGAGCGCCTCACCTTTTGCAGCACGTATCCACTGTGCATTGCTGCAACTGTTGTGACTTGGAGTCGACTCAAAACTCATCACATCTATACATAAACACTCGATTCACGGAGCGAGCAGCCCACCTTTTGCAGCACGTATCCATCGTGCACTGCTGCAACTGTTGAGGATGAAAAGCCGCTGCCAGAGGAAAGGAGGCAAGGAGAAACAGACAAGACCAAGTACAAATACGGAAACAAATTATGGGAATCCATTTCTCAACACGTCTCTGATTTTTGTTTTGTTCATAAAAGCAGGGGAAGGCATTTGCAACTGCAAATGCAGTGACATAAAGGGAGGGGGTTACTTCTGGCAATACACCATCCATCCTGTCGAACAATGTGTTGAAAACCCTCTCCCCTACTACCTGTCGACTACAAGCAAGGTGGCTTTCCACAGGAGAAGGGCGCCAGAACAGCATTCCAGGCCAGGACGACGGCCAACAAGGGAGCTGAGGCAAGGAGTCTTCCTTGCTGGAAGATTTCCGGCTTCTTGTTGGACTCCTTGTTTTTCTCTCACAAGAAGCCGGAAATTCCCGAAATGAGAGAAAAACCCACTACTACCAAGTTACCAACGCACCTGTCCACGACAAGCGAGGTGGCCTTTCCACAGAAGAAGGATGTCAGAACAGCATTTCTTGCAAGGAACATGGCTGGAGACCCGAGGGTTTCGAGCATGAGCTGCACTGTCTTCTCCCTTGCTGCTGGTGAGTTGACAATGCCAACCCTCGCTCCCGTTAACTACACACACACCTGTCAACCACAAGCGAGGTGGCTTTCCCACAGGAAAAGGACGTCAAAACGGCGTTACGGGCCAGGAACACCGCCGGGGACCCGAGGGTTTCGAACATGAGCTGCACGGTCTTCTCACGCGCTGCTGGTGGGTTGAAGGACGGTTCAGCTAGCAGCACTGCATGCTCCTTGGGATCTACCAGTAGGCGATCCCTGAGAAAGAGGGAGGAGGGAAGGGGAGCGAGAATGGGAAAACGATGCGGAGTGCTGAGAAGAGGGGAGGGTTGAACGGCGGCTCAGCCAGCAGCACTGTATGCTCCTTGGGGTGAGGATGCAGTACTTTCCAGTAGCCGGTCCCTGGAATAGAAGATGAGGAAGAGGAGAGAACAAGGACGACTGCTGAGAGAGAGGCCGAGGGACTTCTCGCGCGCAGCGCTGCTGGCAGGTTGAATGATGGCAGCGCTGCTGCGCGCTGCCTACGGCTCAGCCAGCAGCACTGCGTGCTCCTTGAGGTAGGCAGTCCCCTGCGACAGTAAAATGCATGTTGAATTAAGTGCACACTAAATGTAAGATGACTAGTTGCACACTTACTTCAGTGCATGCTCCCAAATAGCAGCAACTCCTTCCCAGTCCGAGAGAAGGCCATTGGACACAGACGGCACCACCTGTGGCAGGCAGGTGTAGGCAAGGGGGAGAAGAGAAAAACAGAGAGTAAAGGTAAAGAGAGGAACATGGAAAATGTTGGATTCATGTAGTTGGAACGAAAATGGTTAAACAGGGGGCAAGCAATTATTCATGGCCTGGCCTTTGCGATACGGCATTGCGATTGTACGTGGCCCATACGTGGCCCATACGTGGCCCATACGTGGCCCATACATGGCCCATACGTGGCCCATACGTGGCCAATGGTTGAGATTTACACGATCAAATGCCTCGAAAAACAGTGCGCATCTACTTGGTAGAAGAATAATAACAATGAACATTTAATAGAGTACTCACCTCCATGAAGTCTCGTCTGTATCCAAGAGCATTGCTGCCCACAAACAGCTTCCTCTTGCCACCTGGCGAGCCCCCATTCGCCGTCGCCCCTGCTGCTGCCACGCCCCCTTCCAGCTTCACTCTCTTCGCGTCTGGCCCCTCTGCTTCGCTGCCCTCTCCCGTTTTACCCTCCCCACCTGTGCGTTCTGCATCCGTCTCTATCACACCAAACACCTGCCATGCCATGCAAGCAGCATTGTGGGGTGTGGAAAGAGCTTTCTAATTCAATTTGAGGAGCCCAAGAAAAGCAGCAGCAGCAGCAGCAGCAGCCGCGCCCCCTTCCAGCTTCACTCCCTTCGCATCTGGCCCCTCTGCTTCGCTGCCCTCCCCCCTTTTCCCCTCCCCACCTGTGCCATCTGCATCCGCCTCTATCACACTAAACACCTGCCATGCCATGCAGGCAGCGTTGTGTGATGTGATGTGATGTGATGGGATGTGATGTGATGTGATGTGATGTGATGGGATGTGATGTGATGTGATGTGATGTGATGTGATGTGATGGGATGTGATGTGATGTGATGTGAAGATAGATAATATACATTTTGAGGAGCCTAGTTTTGAGGAGCCTAGTTTTGAGGAGCCTAGTTTTGAGGAGCCTAGTTTTGAGGAGCCTGGTTTTGAGGAGCCTGGTTTTGAGGAGCCTAGTTTCTAGGCGCCTCACAACTAGCAGGCAGCGTTGTGTGATGTGATGTGAAGATAGATAACATACATATTGAGGAGCCCAAGAAAAGCAGAGGGTGTTATTCTCCCAGCGTATACTTCACACCCTTTCCCAACCTTGCAAGCCACGTGTTTGAAGTAATGCTTTGAGACGTCTCAAAACATTACTTCAAACACGTAGAAAAGCAGAGGGCGTTATTCTCCCAGCGTACAAATAAAAAACTGTCCCAACATTGCAAGTGTCTGGAAGAGATGCTCTACATACAACACAAAGCGACAATTAAAAGGGATATAAAAGCGGAGTGCGCAGGGGCGAGATATCTGTCTGTGCATACCGAGGGGAAGACGGCCTTTGGAGCATCCTCCCCTGCGTATCCAGCCTTGCACGTGTGCGAGCCCAGATCCAGCACCAGCGCCGATACCTCATCTATAGGAATGTGGAGGTGTAGAAGATTGTGAAGGGGGGGATATATGAAAACACACCAGGACACGAATCCAATTAGCCTAGCATGTGTGAGGGAGGTGTTAAGGGGAAGGGGCCCAGACCAGACCTCATCTGCTTTGAGGGGGAATGAGTGAAGATCGAAACGATGGAGAGTGTGTGCGAGGCTCAAGCTTCGCGAGTGCGAGGAGAGCATGTAATGGGGTGCGGATACAGAATAAATAGATAGATGAGCGTTTTCAAAATACTTCGCGGGGCTCAGTACACCGCCAGTGCTGATGCTTCGCGCGTGTGAGGAGAGCATAGAATGGGGTGCGGGTAAAAAAAAAAAAGAAAAACACTGAGAACATTCAAAATACCCTGCGAGGCTCAGTACAACGCCAGTGCTGATGCTTCAGCATGTGAGGATTCTATCCATGCGCGTGATATTCAGACACTCAAAATAATGCTTCAAGGTTTTGAAAAAACAAATCAGAAAATACCTCCGCCGGACATGATGCTCGCGATGCTTCTTATTTACGTATATGGCTCCGATAATGTGGTTCCTACAGCACCAGTTGGAAGATCGTTCCCGTTGGAGGCGTAGATGCGACTGCGATATTCGACAGAGAAACTAACGCGGGGGTATGACGTCGGAAACCGCGGCTTCCAGAAAGATACCTCGCTAACTCTGAAGTACAGTCGGTGCCCATGTGCGTGAAACCAGGTAGGCGGGCGGCATGTGCGAGAAACGAGTTTGAGAGATTTCGCCACGTTCGCCCTTGTCGCCACGGGCAAAAAGGTGACTGTAATATGAAATTGCAACGGGAATCGAGTTAAGGGCTTTAATTTCGTAACCAGATTAACTTCTCTGTGTTATGAGTTGTAAAGGAGAGTGCGCAGGTAAACGAATAACGAGGCTGTGACTGAATGAATGAGAATACAATGAATGCACAGACTATTATAGGACTAGCCTAACCAGGAGGATGCACAGACTATTATAGGACTAGCCTAACCAGGAGGAAACCTCGGGAGGCGAGGTTGGGTGCAAGTTCGGGGATGGAAATGCCGAAGGCGACGCGGGGAGCCTCGGCAGCGTTGAAATCGGCCGAACGTGCGAACTCCGAAAATCGGGTTGTACGCGAAGCAGTCAACCCCGATAAGGAATTCGGGAAAATTCCATACACTACCCCCCCCCCTCTAAGAAAGGCGGTCAATGTCTGCGACACGTTGGCGCGCCAAATAATCACCAACAAGTGGCGAGGCGTCGAGCGAGGCGGAAGGCACCTACGTGTCATCCTCACTGGTGCGATCAGTCCAACGAATCAAGAAATCCACGTGTCGGCCAGCTGCGTCAAGGCGAACCCGATGAGCCAGGATTTTCGAAGGGTCGAGTGTTGGCTCCGGAACAGGTCGTGCCGTTGGGGCAGCTTGTTGACGGGCGATGTCTGTCGTGGCTGGCACGAATTTGCGAAGAAGGCTGACGTGGAAGGCGTCGTGAATTCGCCAGTCGTCGGGTAGCAACAGCTTCGCGGTGACAGGTGTCACCATCTTGATAATTTTGAACGGTCCGCAAAATCGTGGCCGTAGCTTCGACGGGCCGGGCAGGTGCAGGTTCTTCGTGTCAAGTAGCACTAGTTGCCCAGTGGTTAAGACCAGTTCCCGGCGTAGAAGGTCAGCGTATTTGCGGGAGGTGATATTCGCCTTGCGAATTGCGTCGGCAGCTTTTTCTCGGGTTTCCTGCAGTTCCGTCACAAAAGTTTGTGACCGTGGGACCGGGTTGTCGAGAGAAGTCGCGGTGGGAACCGTCGGGTCCATCCCGTAATTCAGGAAAAACGGGGAGTGATTAGTCGTGCTTGATGGTGCGTTGTGTCAGTAGATCTGCACTGTAGATGCCCGATTGATCCTGGAGAGGGTTACAGGCGCGTTCGCTTGGGGGGTTATGGGCGCACTGACCCGCTACTGAAACAAGCCCTTTTATCCCAATGGTCTAGTGGTTGGGATTCCGACATGGTATCAGAGCAGTCTCGGGTTCGTTTCCCGGTGTATGCACATGTAGGCCATTGCCGCTGTGCTTAGTCCTGGGCCTCCCAGTGTGGGGGGGTGTCAGTAGATCTGCACTGTAGATGCCCGATTGATCCTGGAGAGGGTTACAGGCGCGTTCGCCTGGGGGGTTATGGGCGCACTGACCCGCTACTGAAACAAGCCCTTTTATCCCAATGGTCTAGTGGTTGGGATTCTGACACGTTGTTGAAAGCGAAATCCAACATCGCGAGAGAGTCTTCCCAGCGGGCGGGGTCGGGGCAGTTTGTCCTGATTAACTGCTCCATGGTCTGGTTGGTCCGCTCGGTTTGGCCATCGGTCTGGGGGTGGTAAGCCGTTGAAAACTGTAGCTTCGTGCCGTACTGCGCCCATGTCTCTTTCCAGAACTTGGATGTGAATTTTGGGTCGCGGTCGCTGATGATCGCCGAAGGGATGCCGTGTAGTCGCACGACCGTCGAGATGAAAAGTCGCGCAGTTTCTTCGGCTGTGATTGTCGTACGGCATGGTGCGAAGTGCGCCATTTTCGTGAAGTGGTCGACGACGACGAGAACAGCGTCGTTGCCTGTCGGCCCAGCTGGCATCCCCGTGACGAAATCCATCGTCACTTGCTGCCACGGTCGTTCGGGTGGCTCGAGGGGTTGCAGCAGTCCAGCTGGTCGTTGGCGTGTCGATTTCATAGCTTGGCACACCCTGCATGATGACACATATCGCTGCACGTCGTTAGAGGAGTCAGGCCAATAATATCGACGGTGCTGTAATTTCTGGGTTTTATCAACCCCGAAGTGTCCGGAGAAGTTCGAATCGTGGACCTCGTGGATGAGAAGTTCACGCAGCAGCCGGTAAGCGGGAACCCAAATCCGGTCGGTTCCGGCTTTTAGGTAATAGTCCCCTTTCTGCGTCGTGGCCTGCTGATGATTCCCGGTCGTGAAGAATGGGTCCGTCGAGTAGCCATGGGTGAATAGTCCTGTAAGTAGCGGGTTCGAATGGTTGATGAGTACTGCAGCGGATTGTACTGTCGGTCGGGTCAGGGCGTCGGCGATGTTATTCGCCCCTTTCTTGTACGTGATGTGGTAGGTGAAATGGCTCTCCATGTAGTCGAGCCATCGAATCTGTCGTGGGTTCAGGTTGGGTTGGGCTCGCAGGTACTGTAGGGATTTGTGGTCCGTGCGAACAGTGACGTCGGCGCCCACCAGGTAGCATCGCCATAGTTTAAATGCGTGTATGATGGCGAGCATCTCCTTGTCGTGGATCGGGTAGTTGCGTTCGGCTGCCTGCAGCTTCCTTGATTCGTAGGCTATCGGCTGCAACCCGTTCCCGAAATCTTGGAGAAGTACAGCTCCGATGGCGAAATCTGAGGCGTCGGTTACAACTTCGAACGGCTTCGATGGGTCGGCGATGCGCAGCACAGGAGGGGACACGAGAAAATTCTTGAGTTCCTGGAAAGCCACTTCTGCCTCCTCCCCCCACACAAAATTCTTGTCCTTGTGCAGTAGGTCGGTTAGCGGTCCGGTTATCCCCGCCATATTCGGGATAAATCTCCTGACGTAATTTACGAATCCGAGGAAACTCTGGAGTTCCGTGACGTTCGTCGGGGACTTCCACTCCTGTATGGTCTTGATTTTCGCCGGGTCGATTTTAATGCCGTCGCGCGAGATGACGTGCCCCAAAAACTCCAACTCTTGTTTAAAAAACTCGCACTTAGAGCCCTTGGTGATGAGTCGGTTGAGAAAGTACGAACGAGAAGTGAAATGACTATGAACGAAGAGAGTACAAATAGGAAACCCTAATTGGGTTGTACCCCCTATGGGATACCCCACTATAGCCTACAGAAACAAGTAAGCTATATGTTCTGACACACCCCCATAGGCAAAGTGGGGGAGAACAAGGGGTCACAAGACCAGTCAAGCAAAGCAAAGCAAAGCTCAGGGTGGATCACAAAGTCACCACGCATTCCGAGCACAAGTTCAAAGGCCACAAGGCCAGTTCACATGCAAGATCATATATAGAGATATACAAGAGCAAGAGTATATATATATGTGAAGGTACAAGCAAGGTCAAGAGG